GATTCAGTAGTTTTGGTGTTAAAAGAGTTAATTTTGTATGTATGCATGCATATAAAATATATGTTCGTTTTTGTCTATGAACAGGCAACTCAGTTGGAAGAAGCACGAAGAAGGTTAGCAGAGGAAGAAAAGGTACGTGGTTGTTGTAAACAACGGCATGCAAGTACATCAAAACAAGCACATGATCCCATTGTACAGAGTCAGTGTTGCAATCAATCGAATCAATCTACGTTAAAAAAGACTAAACAAGATGCTGGAGATTTCACCACCGTTGTGTTCAGTTTCTGTGATGAGCAATTCCCTTATCGAACCAAAATTCCTGGTCGTAACGTCACGTTAAAACAATTTAAGGAATACCTTCCGAAAAAGGGCAGTTATCGGTATGTATATTATAATTAATTAATTCATATCAAATCTGTAAAAAATACAAAAAAAAAAAAGAAATTTGATCACACAGGGTGAGACATTTAAGTACAGATTTAAATATTCCATCCTGTATAGATGTTATTATTAAATTAAAATACGTATTTTACGCATATATATGCATACAACAACAAAAATTACAACAACAATAAATAATAATAATAATAAAATATATTATATGTATTAGGTCGAGTCATAAATAACTTCTGATGCAGCTAAGTGACGAATACATAATAAATTAATATAATTTTATTACTTAATGAATACAAAATAAATGTCTGATAAAAAAAAACGAAAGTTACTTATGACTCGACCTAATATATTGTGGAGAGGGATGGGATGGTTCATATAAATAAAATAGAATTATTTTTCATTTTTATATTATGTTATGTTTTTCAGATATTTCTTTAAAACTGAGTGCGAAGACTTAGACGTAAAAGTTATACAAGAAGAAATAACAGATGATTCTGAGATTCTGCCATTGTGGGAAGGCAAAGTGATGGCACAAGTAAAGACGCTTGAGTGATAGACTGATAAAGCATATGTTGAGCAAAAATTGTCTTAACCCATCGGCTTACCTAATCGTCAAATTGACGGGGTCACCTTCGTGTGCCTTGAATTTAACCTAGTCGTAGATTTGAGGAATTTATTTGCGACGATATGGAAGGAGACCGTAATATATATATACATATTATATGTATATAAATCCGCAGGTCTAATTATTATTATAAGCTACTATCACTATTTTTGCATTTAAGAATTTTCTTTATTTGCTTTATAATTTAGGAATATTGTATCTTATATTTAAAAAAAGAAAAAAAAATCATCAATTTATGTATTGTAGAAAAAAGCAAAAAAAAAGAAAGAAAGATAAACTAGCTTCCTATCATCTTGTCGTTTTGTAATGGCCATTGTATTTTTGGCTAAAAACACTGTCAACTATATATATATTTTCTTCTTGTTTTCATTTTACGATTCCATTTTAATCCAAACGCCATATGTGTATGGTTTGGATAAAAGAAAAGAAAAAAAGACGCACCGTTCCCAAAATATATCTATTCCTACTTCCAACGGCCTACAAAATTGTGTTCACATAATTGTCATGGATACAAAGTATAAGTTTTAGATGAAAGAATTAGAAAAATAATTCATTTTTCATTCTACTATTATTAATGGCGTCATCATCATCCGAATCTCCAATTTTTTCACTTTAATAGTACAGTAGACTCCTGTACAACGCGGTTAATACGTTATGTTTTATACGTAATATAAATAATGATGGTTATCGTCGTGTTCAATTTGTTTTGTACGTTTTACTTATTAAGGTAGTCAAACATTGTTAAAAGTAGTTTATATAGCAAATTGAAAAAAAAAAACAGGATGATAGCTTGACCGATTTTAATTTAATTATTTGACAATAGTAAATAAAAATATTTACTAAATAATGTATTTTTTTTTGTGTATATAGCACGTTTTATAAGAATTGCGTTAAACGGGAGTTTATTGTAATCAATTGTATTTACCTAAAAAAAAGAAGGATATAATTACACGAACAAGTGTCTTCCATTATAATATTATTAATGACATTCTTTAATAACAATGTTTTTACTGCAAATTTAAAAAAGAAAACAAAGTAGAAACTTCCTAATTCACACGGCCTGTTATATAGTTAGTACTTTTACTAAAACAAAACAAAAACAAAAAGAAAATATTTTGTATTCTGCCTATGATATTCGTCGTATATGTCATGAATTGTCGCATTTACAAGAAAAAGAATTGTTTCGTTTTTTTCTCTTTTTTTTTTCTGTAATTAACTTCAACGAGTTAAGGAAAATGCTATTGTAATTTTATTTCGATGTAAACATTTGCAATACTTTTATTCGAACATTTTGTTTGATTCGAATCCCTAAGAAAACCCTCGTTGATCTTCCTATTAATAATAATAATTTAATAATTATTACGAAAGTATTCTATTATTTGTATGTAAAAAATGAACATAGAGCTCGTTTATATTATTATTATATATATATATAATGATTTCGTGAGGTACCTTATAAGTACTAAGTAAAATAATAAATTAATATTTCTAATTATAATTTTTTTTTTAATAAAATCAAATTTTTAAGAGTGATGGTAGCTAACACACAATGTTTTTATTAAGTTTAATATATATGTGTATGTATTTATACTCAGATAATTTCAATGACTGGGCACAAGAAAACAACGGGGATGATTTTGTTGCGTTAACGATTGGATAAGCCGATGGATTAATCGTAGTACAATAACTATGGTAGTCATAAGTTAAGTGCCTTAATATATGTCATTAATCATGCTGTAATTTCAGAGGTTGGAATATAAAATTGTCTTAAAGGGGAAACAGTAGTGCCTAATGTTTTCAAGTTGGATAGCTCATAAATGATACAATGTCTCATAATTTTTTATTTCTAATTTTGTTCCGAATGTATTCAGTTTTCAATGTTTCAAAAATTAAAAAGAAAGAGAATTACAAAAAACAAGCATGGAAAATATATATATAATTTATCTGTAATATTTCATGTTCTCTAACATTGATCAAAAATTGAACATCATCGTCTCTGTTTTATTACTCGTTAAATGTATGTTATTTGATTATTTATATATGCAATAAGGAATTTAAATATTTATATAGTAAGAATATAAAAAAATATTCCTACTACACAAATATTTGATGTCTCAGTGTATGCATATATAATTTTTAATTTTATCTCAATATATTCTATTTTACTTAAATGAATTACATTTAAAAAAAATATTTTTGGTTGATATATTGTCTCATTGAGGGGTTAAATAAAGTTAAGAATGAAAAATTGTGAAAAGAATCATCGCATTTTGTCGAGTTAATAAGAAAGTTCTACCGCTAGTTAGCGCTTCCGTCGAGAAAGATTGAGAGGGCATTTTGAAACCGAATTTTCATAGGCATCACTCTAATATGTGTTTCTTTAACGAATTATTTATATAAAAAAAAGAAATAAGGACAGATGAAAAGAATGAAGAAAAAACAAGAAATCATCCATCTATTGTGATTGCGAAAGACACGTATTTACATATCCGAATTGATGAGATACAAATAATTTGTATATGCAAAATCATAATAGGAAACATCATTCGTTAATTACAAAATACTTTTGTATTCTGCATTTTACTGTCCATTAATTAAAAGTAAAAAAAAGGAGAGAAAGGAAAGTAACAAGAAACAAAGTTCATTTTTGTAATTTATAAAAAAAGAAATTTCCTTGACCTCTTTATAACCGCCAGAAAAAATGTTTCTCTTTAATTGGTAAAATGGACGTACGATCATTCCTCGATACTTATTATAATTAATAATGTTTACTGCAATTAAAATTCGCATGATAATTATACATATATATCATTCTGCGACACATTTAAACGATCAACCGGCCAAAATGTCCGGCCGACCAATAAATAAATATAATAATAATGTTTATAGAATTGTCACCGCAGATATTTAAAAAGAAAGAAAGAAAGAAAAAAGGGGAAAAATATCCTTGCAAAAAATAATGTTAATTGTGTAATTAAATAATAACCGATTTTACAACCGAAAGATCTGTATTTTGAAAGACGTAACATCGATTGTTATATTAATGTATAATCAATCAAGTGCAAGTGGCAATTATGAATTTTATAAAAATGTTCTTTGAACATCTGTGCGCGCGTGCTTTAGGGATATCAAGAGTTAAATCAATTTTTAGTAATCCAATAAAAAAAATTATAATAATACAAAAAAGCTAATATTTAAAAAAAAAAAAAAAATACTTGATAATAACATATTAATAAAATAATTGATTGCTTTCCGGTATCCTTAACTGCTCTATCGTAATTAAGGATTTTATAATTCGTCAATCGAATATGTCCAGTTTTTACCTGAACTTAGTAATCCAATTTGGGAAAGTAAATTAATACACGTTGCAAATCTAATTTTTCAAATCAATCTTACATATCATGACAGTGGCTGTATATAATTGGAGTATTTAATACTACAATAGTTACGTTTTCGACTTCAATACCATGCAACAAAAAAAAGATAGGAAATAAATTATAATTTATGCAAATAATAGATAATCTAATTTGTTTTTTTTATTCAACATACCGTCATATATCATTCCAATTCATTTTAAGTAAAAATGTTAGATTTTTGAAATCTGACAGAAAAACAAAATGAAAAACCACCCAAAAAAAGAAATAAAAACAATCAAAGACAGAATAAAAAAATGAAACAAACAAAAACTATTTTTTTCCAAATATTTTCAAATTAAAATAAAACTTATGTTATCACTATTATAGTTCACTTTTGAATTCCAATTAAAAGTGCATTTTTTCTAGTTACATTTTCTAAAGTTAAGTACGAAATTTATACTATCAAAAATTTGAAAATATTAAAATTTTTAAATACAATTCAATGGTAAAAAAGAAATGAATCATATGTATATATGCATTTAGTCTATGAACATTTATGCATAATAATTACATTATAATTAAATCACTTATTATACAATACTTTGTATTGGACAAATACGATTTAAGTATTTTTTTATTCTTAACGAATAACTACAGTGGTGCCATTCTGGAAACTGTATGTTCCTAGGATGGGTATTAGTCCTTTTAGATCGTAACCATTAAAGTTACTAAACAAGCAAGCGATGTGTATGTAGCGGAAACCACGAGTCGTTAAAAGTTAATTTTTTTCAATAATCACATGAATAAAATCCTAATTATTGAATGTAAATTGAAATATTAAACAAACAAGTAAGTAGATATATTGTTTTAAACATCAAACCTATTTAAGAACCTTATTATGTTAAGAACTCATAAAAATAAGTTCAAACAATAATATTGTTTACATACATAGAAATGATTAAACAATGTTTGTAGCATTTAATACAGCATATTTCATAAATTTGTTTTAATTATATTTAAGCTATCTCAATATATCTATTAATATTGCGATTTCTTTTATCAAAGTCTTATTAAAAAAATAATTTAATCTAATCTGTTTAAATGTATACGGTATTTTTGCATCATGAATTTCCAAACTTGAAGATTATATTAAATATTTTTATTCCAGAATGCCATTAGCTCGTGATCTTTTGCACCCAAGTCCCATTGAGGAAAAAAGAAAGCACAAGTTAAAGAGACTCGTGCAGAAACCTAATAGTTATTTTATGGATGTTAAGTGTCCTGGATGCTATGCTATCAAAACTATTTTTTCACATGCCCAAAAATCTGTCGAGTGTGACGGATGTCGGACTATTCTATGCACACCAACTGGTGGCAAAGCACGATTGACAGAAGGTTGCTCCTTTAGAAGAAAGGTTCAATGTTAATGCTATGTGACATGAAT